TCTCGTTTGTTGACTCGCATTAAAAATTTTATTGAACTATTATTTCATGAATTTATGTCAATAAGTTTAGTACCAAACTGTAGATTATAATTTTAGTACTATATATATTACTCAATTTCTTAATTTAAAAGTAAATATAAAAAAACAGACAAACATTGATTTTTGTGGTATGTTGAATGTAGCACTGGTTCAAATTAGATGTTTGTGAAGATAAAATACTAAGTCTATAGTTTGATACGAATTAGAAACTCAAATTACAGATATTGACAAGTTAGAATATCTTTTATCTTTTCAATTTGCTAAGATATTGCTTATGTAATAAATCAAACACAGTGGCACCCTGCCCACCTCTTTCCATTATATACACTTACTTCTATATATGACATGAATAACCAATCAAAAGCTCAGAATGTCCCTCTAGTGGCTTTCTCAGCCATTTTAAGAGACTTGGCACCATTTATTTCTTTTTAATCAATATTTCAACGAGGTAGGGTGTGTCTTTAGTCTGCTCAAAATTTCATATTTTTTTTAGATTAAAATACATCTTAGTTACTAAGCTTGACAAATTATAGTAGAATTCTATAGTATTAATGTAGTCATTTATGATTTATTTGTTATTCAAATATATATATATATATATATAAAACCTAAAAAAAATATTTTGTTTCATATCCTCCACATGCAAAATTTTAAAGGTTTAGCAACCTACATAAAGCAGCAACCAAGTACAAAGGTCATAACTAGAAGAAATAATTGTTTGCTTTACTTCTTTATTTACTGTTCTATGTTTTAGGAAAATATGCTTAAGAACTTATCTCAAAATAGCAATAATCTATATACATATATAATGTATAATAATTGAAATGTGACCGTATTTTACACAATACTAGTACACTAAAACACAGCCAAGGTCAGTTTTATATTATTCGATATAGTAACATGAGTGCCACATCATTGTAACATCTGTATTGTTAGCCAGGCACGGCTGAAAGGTCAATAATAATAAATTTATATAAATGTATAAGATTATGAGATTTAAGCTATTAAGTCTAAACATTTATGTTTTCGTGTTATAATCTGTGTTCATTCTAGAATGAAATAGCCATAATTTTTATTTATTTCCTGATTTTTTATGGTGGTTGCAAGATCAGTCAGTTCTACTGAACCTGTACAGAGATTAATTACTGAAAATAAAAGATAAAATATAAAGTATTTTCTTGAGAAATGTTTGAGAACTATCTGGACATTATAAAGATTTCACATGTGAAATTTCAAAATTTTCTGATGCATAAAAGTATTTTTAATCTTAAAATGAATATTAGTTTGCATGATAGATAGGCAACATGTGAAAAGAAAAAATAGCCATGAGAAAAACATTGCTTTATAAACCTTAAGACTTAATTAGAAAGTTTGATATTTTGCATATGAAAGCATTGTAATGTTTATTGATAATCTGCCCAATTTCATTGACATTCGCTTACTAATTTAAAAGTTATAGCATGAAAACTAAAACAAACACAAAATGTTTACCAGGTCGGTTCCATGGACCAAGCCCGTGCTGAAAGAGTTAAATCAGTTCAGCCTATAGTTAATTTTAAATATAATAAACCTATAGGACCTCTTATCTTCAACTACAAAAAATTTACTGAAGAATTTAATCAAACAGAAATTGATAAATTACCTTGTTATTGTCATAACAATGAATTTAAGGATCCTTTTGCATATTCATACAGTTATAGATAATCAAAGATAAAGAATTACAATCAATATTGAAAAAAGGAACAAAATTCAGAATTAAAAAACTGATAAAGGCAAAATATTAAAAGATTTGGAAAAAATATTGACAATTACATTATCAAATTAAGTAAAAAATGTATTATCTTTCATGTTTCTTTTTTTGAATGGAAATTACATTTTATCAATTCCATAAAAAACCATCTAAGAAACTTAAACCTATTTGAATACAAAATACGTATTTCTTTTAAAAATAAAATAAAAAGTGCAGGAGCAATTTATAAATTGATAAAGCAGGTTTCAACTTTGAAACTTTGTATATGTAAAAAATTGTATGTACAAATCCTAATTAAAGAAATTAACAATACAAGTAGATTAAGCAAAAGTCCTTTAAAAAAAAAATAATATTACTAATTTAAGGAAAGAAACAAAAAAAAGTGAAATGTACATGTAAAGTCCTCTCACCTGCCATTTTTATAAGCAATTCCAAAATTGCATAAAACTCCTATCAAGTTCAGATTTATAACTAATTCTTTAAATACAATTAATAAATCTGTATCTATTGTTTTTGGATTATTAATAACAACAATCCAGTTTCGGAATGTATAAATAAGTTAAATACCTCAATTAAAGCCAGTTCTGTCTCCACTTATGATTTTATAACATTGCATACAAAAATAGATCTGAAAGATTTGATTAAGGTATTCAATAACCTATTTGATAATTTTATAGATACAGAAATGGATATTCCAAAATTTAAATTTACCAAAATCCAATGTAAAAATTTTCTTCATTTCTGTGTTTATACTAGTTATATTACTTTTAATGAACAGGTATATAAACAAACTGTGGGAAATCCAATGGGAGCAAACTTCTCTTCAAATACAGCCAATTTATATCTGATTTTTTAATGAAAATTCATGCAAGAAACAGGTTTCAAATCCTAAATCATATACATATACCTTTCATTACATAGACGATTTAATTGCTATAAGTAATCAGAACTTTACACCAAGGTTAATATATCCAAACGAACTTATAACAAAAAAAATAATATCACTTACATGCTAACTATTTAGATTTAGATATTAAGTTAGTAAATAACAACTGACTATTTTTGATTAGAGAAGGGCATTCAATTTTTCCATTCTTGGTCTACCTACCCCCAATAGTGTAGTGCCACATATGATGCTTAAAGGCATCATTATATCACAATTAAAAAGATTTTTACCTGTTTGTAACAGGTAATTCTTTTATGGATAATGTTATATTATTCATAAATAAACTAGAAAATAATGGTTATAAATACTAGCAATTGAGAACATTTCTTACACTGTTTTATAATAAATATGAAACATTTTTAATAAATAAATTTTCGATAAGGAAAATAACTTTTTTGACACTAGAGGTAGTTACCTACTTCTAATTAGTTAATACTAAAATTAAAACTTATTCAGTATAGCAGGGACTGGAAAGACTAACTTCAAGTAGCTGAGCTGTTCTCAGCTATACCACACTATACTTGAATAATTTTACAAGAGGAATATGAACTACAAAGAAAGATGAGGTAGAATATGTAGTTCCTTTTAAGATCTTTTATACTTTATTGAATTCTTTTGTCATCTTTTTTAGAAAAGGGTGGAGATTGAGAGTAATGTATTGTAGAAATTTAGAGTGGTTTAATATTGTTATATTGTTCATTTTAAGATATTTTATACTTTATTGATTTCTTTTGTCATCTTTTTTAGAAAAGGGTGGATATTGAGAGTAATCTATTGTAGAAATTTAGGGTGGTTTAATATTGTTATTGTTATATTGTTCAGTTTAAGATCTTTTATACTTTATTGAATTCTTTTGTCATCTTTTTTAGAAAAGGGTGGAGATTGAGAGTAATCTATTGTAGAAATTTAGGGTGGTTAAATATTGTTATTCTTCTACTTTAGGTACTATTAGAAATTTTAAGGATGGAGGTTGGCAGAAACTTCTAGTAGAAATATTTTTAGGGTGGTATTATTATTTTTTTCTACTTTTAATGTTAGAAAAACTTTTAAGGGTTACTGCCTTCCCACAACTGGTTGCAGACAGTGAAAGGCAGTAAGAGTTGAAACGTTGTGGATATAAGCACTCAACTCTGCACCCTTATTTGATTTTTGATGGCTGATAACTAGTTTTTCATCTATGTTTGGATTTTGTCTGATATATGGGATATCCCCAATGCTTTTGGGAGCTATCACCACAGACAATTTCCATTATGACTGGAAAATTGCAATGGAATTTTAAAATAATTACTTTTATATAATTCATTATTGTTTTCTATTCTGATTTTAATTGCCTATTTACAACTAATGTAATTAATATAATAATAGTTTTGAAGCTATTTTCTTTACATAAATAAATAAATATGTGTATATATATACATACATACACACAGAGATAAGGAAAAGTTCTAGATATTTTGACAAACCTCCTACACCAGAACTAGAGTTTGCTTATCTTAACAACAACCCAGTACAAAATTTTAAAAGATACAAAACTTTCAAGTTTTGTTTTATTTGACATTGATTTTAAAAACTACGTCATTTAGTGGACAAAGCTACACAATAGGAGACACTAGAAAATATTATAACAAAAGCCTAAAAAGCACACCTTCAAGTACAAAATAATTGGAAGTATCTAGGTTTTAATCTTTCTCTTTCAGACAAAAATAATTCTTGACTTTAAAAAATGTATATATTTCTGCTATTTCACAAATTCAATCTTTATGTTTTTGAATTTTGTGCAAAGCTACACGAGAGCTATCTGCACTAGCCATCCCTAATTTAGCAGTGTAAGATTAGAGGGAAGGCAGCTAGTCATCACCACCCACCGCCAACTCTTGGGCTACTCTTTTACCAACGAATAGTGGGATTGACCGCCACATTATAACGCCCCTACGGCTGAAAGGGCGAGAATGTTTGGTGTGACAGGGATTCGAACCCGCGACCCGCAGATTGCGAGTCAAGCTCCTTAACCACCTGGCCATGCTGGGCCTATTTATAAAGTAGCAAAGCTTTCATTCCAAGCACCATCTGTCAGTATTTTGAAAAAATACAGCCAGTTACATCTATGTAATTTTACTCAGGAAAACTCAACAATTTGTAGGATACTTCCACATACAAAAAAAAAAAATCTAGGGTGATGCAAACACAGCTGTAAATATTTTGTTGAAGTGATTTCCTTAAAGGTTGTATTTATCTCAAACATTAGGGTTAAAAAAAGAATCTCACCTTCCACCATGAGGTTTCCGACATATACACCATAGTCGTTCAGGATCATCTTCAGGTAACCAATCAGCATCACTGGAATTATCAGTGTAATCAATGTCAATGTTGTCATCCTTTTTCTCTTTTTTGTCTTCCTTGGATGTTTTACCTTTGACAAACAGACATACAAGAAATATTTCAAAAACTGATCATTTATTAGTTTTATGTTCAAACATTTTCACTGTCCTAATAAAGTTAATAAAAGAAACTTCAAAAGACAAAACAATTCCTGGAAAAAAAAAGGGAATGCAGGTCAGCAAACAACATATGAAGTATTAGTTATAGTTATAGAAATCCGTTGCATTCTATCAATTTAATTTGCAAAAAGAGAAAACTGGAACCTAACCAGCATTCAAAACCATAACTCTGTTTACTCAGCAATTGCTTTGAGCATTAAACTGCCACAAAACATTGCAGAATAGCTGTATACAATGTGCAAAGTATTTGGGACCTGATGATTTTACTGTAAAACCAATAAGAACATTTTCATGTCAACTATCCCTATCTTAAATGTCAGTAAATCACCAGTGTGCCAATTGTAAAACATTGAGTTTAAAACCAGTTCTGTTTGATTGTTGTATCAATGTATGGTATACACATTATCTCTGATGTCAGCATTACTTTCTCTTAATAGATGGATGTATTGCTTTTATTCACTGCTGTGGAGAAACTGTGAGACAGCAGTACATGACACTAAATCCACAAGGGAATTTAATTTAAAAAAAGCTTTGGTTCAATCACCCCAGTACTTAATATACCAGGAAGGTTTGGGTAACTGTGTCCTAAAGATTTTGGATATTTTGCTACCCTACTGCTGAGTCTATTGAATAATGCCCGTTTCAGTTCACTGGTTAGCAAGTATTTTTCTTTTTTTGTATGCCACAGTTATCACAAAATTTAAATGTTAGATAATAGAATAATGAATTACACTAGTAGAATAACTTATCCAAACTTACAAAGAATATTGAAATACATTACAGCTTTCAACATGATAATTTCCTAAACACACTTACTTTAATTGGTTTATTGCTTTTGAAATTTCATCTAATTTGGTTTGCTAAAAAATATTTTTTGATCAGAAGACAGTAATATAATGAAGATAATATAAGACAATGATGTAGCTTGCTACAACTGTAGAATATCTCCTGTACAAGCTGACTATGCTTCTGCTGTGAACAAAATTAACATATACAACATTAGTCATAATGTTTCTAATGATGTGAAATTTAATTGAATACTTGATAAATATCAAACTATTATAACTGTAAGGGTTTATTCTTGGTGACCTCAAGACATAAAATCAAGAAAAACATGTCTATACCTAGGTTTGTCAAAATAGGTATGCTAATGTTAAAGAATTTTCTTATACCTGCACTGGAACTTAGAATATTTTGTTTCCATATAACAACTAATCCAAGTTAAAAGATAAGACCTTTGGTATCAGTTACAAGTTAAACACTGAAATCTTTCAGTGACATAAATAATATCTATTAGAGTTGTTAAAATTCTATTAACCATTAGAAAAAGTAGATTTGTTAAATTTACTGCAACATTATTTGTTCTTGTTTATGACTGTAGTCTGAAGTGCATAAGCACTTTATGTGAATGATGGAATTGTGAAGTGAATGTAATTTAGATACTTATTTTTTATCAGTTCAGAAGCCTTACAGAGAGCTTCATGTGAGTTTTTGACATAAACAGTATGCTATTCCTTGAGATAAACTGCAATGTTGAAAATTTGAATGTGTTTGAGTTACAATGACTGTTTCCATCATCCAACTCCTGACATTTTGGTAAAAGTAGAGGTCAATATTATCACAATTAACTTTTCTCAAGCTTTGATCCACAAGGAAAATGTTTTTAAGAATGTGAGATTATCCTCATTATCAGGGTGGATAAAATAACATGATGCATCCTGAAGGTGTCTTCCTTTCATTGGACGTTTCACGTATACTATTTTCCAACACCTCAAAATCAATTCCATAAAATATATACTGTACCACAGTGGGGGGGCCTGTGTGAAGGATATGGGTAAGTATTCTTTGAAAGCATCTAAAGAACACCTCTGAATTGTGAACTCCATTGGGAGAGTAACACACGTTGGAGACTGCACCACTTCTGTTCCAGGCATACTCTTCACATCCAAAGAAGGAAAGAAACTAGGGGGGTTCAAACCCAAGTCTCACAAATGAATGTAGGATCTCCATCCACAAACAGGATAGTGGGGAAGGTGAAAATGGATATGCCCTATGTTTTAGAGTGGCTACGGCACATCAGACCATACCTGGCAGGTGAACTCTAGTCCAAAACCAGATGGCATCAGGTATACAGCATCCAACAGAAGTGGATTGCCTCAAAAAATATATGCAACCTCACACTCTGGGTAGAACCGCACAGAAGCTGGGTGCGACATGAACCTCCAGGAGTGCATGGTTGGAGGATCAATGCACCAGCAGAACACCACCACCCTACTTTCTACTGAATGGAAGTGATCACCACAGCAGCTTGGAAATGGAAAGTGGCAAGGACTATCATACTTACCTGGAAGAACATAGGGTAGGAATGTGGTGGAGAGTCCGGAGGAACACCAAAAGCCAGTGCAACATATGACCACAAAAACCCTATTTTGAAAAGCAAACTGCTCCTCATTTATTCAATCAAAGGGATGGCAGCTTTCCCCTTTTGCTTTACCCATGACAGTCTATGGGTTAGTATAGTCTGAAACATGCATATTTATGAAACATTTATATCATGAGGAAACCTATGAGCAATCTTGTGGAATATTCCATCTCAATAATATGCATTATAGGCCATAGGTATACATGAAGATTGTTGAGATCAGCCACCTCCCGAAGGCAACTTTGGTGAGATGTTCCATACAACCCTCGCCAAGTTACCCTGAGCAACATCAACCTACTAGGGCCCAACCCCATGGAGGTGGAAGTTCAGCAAAACAGTGCCAAATTATCCCCCCCAAAGTAGACGTGGAGTAGTGCAAAAGATCCAAAAGAAATTCCAGACGTACTAGAAGAAAACTAAAAACATGTTTATTCTCACTAATTATGCATTGAAATTAACTAATAACATCATCGGAACTACAATAACTCTTAATATTTACTAAAATCAAAGCATTCTGAATCTTTCCTTTGAGTTTCTGGGAAGTCAGGAGGTAGCCAATCATTTTTGCCTATTTCTCCATGACCAGAAAGGATTTTTAAATTCTGAAAGTTGCTCTCACCTTTTTATGCTATTTTGCACTTCCCCCATTTATTTTTGATACTTTTCAAAAAAGTGCACACAGCAGCTTCAAGGGTGGGTTTCTTGCTAACCGGGATCTTATATTTTAAATCACAACCAGGAACACAATGTTTTTGAGGCATCTAAAGGGGCATAAATAAAAAATAATCTTGGCTCTACATAGATAAATTAAACATCAATTTATAGCAAATTAAATGGTTTTGAAAATTTTCAAATATCATTCAATATTCAGCTGTTATGGTGGTCTTACGTAAAATAAAGTTTAAATTGAAATGTTTTGCATATCCACATAGAATCAGAATACTAGGAAATGGTGATGAAATTACACCACAAATATTAAAAGTATATTAGCTATTACTAGTTTATGACACATTGGATTAGTCTTTGCTTTTTTACTGTAGACTGTATGCAAAACACTGTATTATGTATAGGATATTACCTAATAACTGAATAAACTGTATCATCATCATCAGTGTATGCTATTCTACAGCACATGTTTTATATTGCTAATGCTTATCAAGTGAAATAACCTAGCCCTATATATTTTTATTGGCAGCACTAAATTGAATATACTGATTGGTAGACTTAAAGTATAATGTGTTACTGTAAGGCTCTATGGTTGGGAATTTGTAGTACATGTTTGCAAATGTTTGATGTTAAACTTGCATAGTTAGGTTAGGTTTAACAACAACATAAATAACACTTAACAGCCACACTTCACAGATTATTATTGCATAAAGAGTTTGCTATTTTCCAAGTAATTAGTTTACTGTACCTTGAAATGTATGTAGTTATAAATCTTCTATCACTATATAAAAGTAAGTACAGTCACTTCAAGTTTTAATGCTACTTTACTGTGCTTATCTTGAGGCCCCAGTGTGTGATGTCACAAACTAGCTTTAGATACAGTATACGCCTTTAATATCAAGACAGCCTTGATTCAAGAGAAGAGTGTAGATCTCTGAACAAATTACTTGGCCATAGTCCACTGAAGAGGACAAAACATGCAGAACCTTTTATGCAGGAAGAGAAAGAAGCATGAACAGTTGATAACCAGAGGTTTCATGTTTTGAAGATGGAAAGAAGAATGACTCTATATCACAACTGAATTGAAAAAGTATCCCAAGTGAATCAGATAATGGGAACAAAAGAAGTACACCTGAAAACATTTGAAGGATACCTCTGACAATGAGAGATATAGATATGAAGAGGGGAACTGCACCACATCTGAGCCAGGTATACTGTTCACCCATGTGTAGATTGTGTAGTGCACAAGATCAGAAATTGTGAGGTGTAGAGTGGCTAGGACACGGCAGACCATACTTGGTAAGCCAACTACATCCAAAACCTCCTCACAGGGTATTGACATCTACGGGACAGTAGGATGAGGATCATACTGTCTTCACCTCAAACCTAAGAGTCAGGGATTAAGACATGTATCAATTTCTGTGTATGTCATGAGGATCATCACCGATCTGTCAATCTGGGAATTGACATCTGGTATCGAAAAGGACGTCTATCACATGAAATCAACTCATGGGCCAGCACAATCCAAAGGCAATAACATCTGTGTAAGAAGAGAACGAGGGACAGTCAAGGATATCACCAGAACAATCCCACATACTAATGCTGTGACCAAAGACACAGAGGAAGCAATTGGGGGAGGAAGATAGACAACCCAAATTCATGTGAGGATTTGTATTGATTAATTCACTCTAATCCAAAACCTCTGTGCGGGAACTGACTTCTACTCCAAAGCCAATAACATCCCTGTAAGAAGAGAATGTGAGACAGTCAAGGATAGCACCAGAACAATTCCACATACTAATGCTGTGACCAAAGACACAGATA